CTATTCAATCAAGCAGCACTCTTACATACTCCTACTGCTTGTAAATGATATACCTGTATTATCATGCAGAAATATTACTATTATATTTAAATGTTATGAACAGGGTTTCGGCATAGATTCGTTTTTATAATCCAAATTTCACCCACTGAACCATCTAATAATGTAAACAATATATATGATTAAGCAATAAAGATTGGTTTTTATGGCAGTTGATGTCTTTTCTAATCAGAACATATTTTCAGAATTTATTTTCTGTATTGCAGATAGCCCAGTAAACTGTAACGACACCCATAAAACATATAACTTACTGCACTGCTGATAGTGAGGGTATTCCACCAATCGCTCTAACAGCAATCTCGGCACTAACAAGGCAAATTAAAAATGTTTACAATCTAATTTTCACAACACTCGGCAGTGATTTTGACTGAAAGTGGGCGTGAAAGTGGCGCTGATTAGATAGAGCCCACCTCAATGGATGTCCAGTGTTTATGACTCGCGGGGGAAAACAGGTGGAGCGGTAAACAGCAGTAGCCGGCGACTTGAAATCAATTAAAATCACTCACTCAGGCCATATAAATGCAGAAAATCCGTTGAACCATTTAATCACCTTTCCCGTGTACTCTCAAACCCGCGATTTTACCGAATAGCACTCCCTTCTTTCATATTTCATTTTAGTGTGGGCATTGCTTTTTGTTTTGTTTGAACAAAGTCCCTGCTGGCGCATTAATTTAAGCCGCCTGGAACATAAAAGCTGCTCGCAAAACTAAGCCGATTTAAGAGCACATTTGAATTCAAATGCCGCACGGCCAAATAAAAACTAAACGGATCCCTTTTCCCTTTTCTCGCTCTGGAAACACTCCGTTCTGAATCTGAACCGAACCAAAAGCGAGTTAAATGGCACAAAAACTGTCTGCAAAGTTTGCGTCTGAAGTTTTTAGTTTCGGCAATGCAAAAATTATAATCCTTTAAATGGCAATCGAGCGTTTCTGAACAGCCGAAAGATTAAGCCCCAGGAGTGCTCTCAAATTATGTTTGTATACCTGTAATCGAGGGCAGATAAATGAGGTTATAAATGGTTGGGTAGGTTTTTCTTATAACCAAGGTAGGGTTTTTTTTTTTATTCAGAATATTTTTCTTATAAGTTGTATAATATCTCATAAGTATGTACATTATATCTTATATATCTTAATTTATTTTAAAAAAAACAAATAATTATTATTAAAGTTCATACTCGAATTTAAAGATCTTTGTAAGGAATGATTTTTGATTGATTTGTGAACCATCTATCATAGTTGTTGACATCTATTATCATTTCTTGTTCATTTAATTGAAAAATCAAAAATATCGAATCAATTCCACGTATTCAATAGCTTTCGCAGAACGATTCACTCCGAATTGCATTCGAGTTTCCAGGTATCACACCTTATCTTGCCTTTTGTTTTATTGCATCCAATCTTCGTCGAGAAGCCCCATATAAGAGGTGAGTAATAGTCGTCGCCTGTGTAATTGCGGGATATGTCGGCGTGGGCGGGGGCGGTAGGTGGGCGGTGGCACTGGAGGGGGCGTGGCTGACCGCCAGAGCAATTAAGGCTGGCCAGACTTTCAGCAGACGCTTGGCCAGGATGACATCACTGGACAATGGGACATAAATCACACGAGTCGCCGACTCACAAGGACATTTGGTCGGGTCCTCGGATCTTGAAAAAGGAGGTATGAGGTTGAGTTTGAGTTTGTGTCATGCTTTTGGTCCCCGGGCTTTTTACTACTGTTTCAGCTGGTGATTTCCCCTTTTATTTTATTTTACTTTATTATTCCTGCAGATTCTCGCTGCCTTTATCGGTTTTTGTATGTTGGCTGCGGATGCTGGCAGCGCTATTTTCCGCTTTTCCGCTTTTCCTTTTCGATTTTGGCTTTTGCCTCTTTGTTTCTGCTGGTGCTCCATTATTGTTTCCTTTGATTTATTTTCGGTTTCAAGTGATTTCCGCCAGCACTCAACACTTTATGGTTGTTTTCGCCTGGTTTTTTTGCTGCTTCTGTTTTTCACATTTTTTTGGGCGCTTTTCTTGTTGCATTTCAAGCAAAACGCTCAGTGCAAACATTTGTCATTTGCGGGTTTGCGTTGGTTTTCCATTGGACGCCGGGGTCTCTGGGGTTTTCCTCGTGGTTTCCCTTTGCACTTTTGCCCGGCTTTTGATTTTGATTTGCGGTGCTTAATCGTTGGCAAGCGTCTGCGGACTTTGTGTTTTTAAATGCAGATCTTGTTCTTATTCTGTTTCTGTTCGGGCCATAAATTTGTTTGGCTCTGCTTGAGTTTTTTGTTGGTAGCCAGCACACGTAATTGAAAGCAGCAGGGCGGCATTTCGGCTGCTGCTGGCCATTTCAGTGAGCCAGTTTGCATTTTTGGGGCCAATTCGCAATGCCCAATTCCCCATGGTTCAATGGCATCGCCTCGCCTGCACTGAGGCCATTGATTAGGGTTCTTTCTTCCAGAACCTCTCGGCTGGTGGCTTACCAAAAGGCTAAAATCCAAGAGATGCCTTCGGGCCGCATCTCTGCCTTGTAATCTGTCAAAATTGGTTGCGTTTCTGCTAAGCGGAAGTTCGTACAAAAAATGTGCCACACTAAACTGGTTATTTAATGTTGCACCGAAAGAAAGAGGTCTTTAAAGATGATGGAAGACTTGAGGATTGGGATTTAAATTAACTATCTCGTACAAGTCTTAAAGAAAGTTAAACCATGGTTTTATTTATTTTTTACTAAGACCAGGTATTTGTATTTAGCTTATCTCTTATCTCATTATAGTTACATTTATTTCTCTAAGTGCACACTTTGTTACCCAGCTCCCAGTTCAATGTCCTCGGTGGGCGTGTCGATTGACTTTGAAAACCGCCAGCTTCTTCTTCGCTGTATTTTTTTGCCCTGAGAATATGCATTTGATGTCTGCAATGATCGAATAAATGGCACTTGAATGAAGCCAGCCAGTAAGTCAGTCACACACTCGTCCCCTGAAACTGAAAGTTTTAAGCCCGGCCTGGCATAAATTATGACTTTAATTCCCACTCCCAAGCCAACTTTCACGCCGAGTCAACGGCACTGTATCTGCGAGTCTGTCAAACAAGCCAGCTGTAATTGATCACGATGTGACAAATATTTATGCATGAAAATAGAGCCCAGTATCTCCTAAGCTGCACAAATAAACACGAAGAGCAGCAAATTCGTATTAAGCGATCAATAATCGTGGTAAATACGGCAATGTGACGCCAGGGGCGATAAGGCCTAGGAAATATAAACGCACAATCCACCAGAGACTGGGAAAGGAAACTGAAACTGAGGCCAGAGACTGGTTTTTGGGCCTGGCTCGTTGCAGATAAACAATAGAAGAGCTTAGTCTTAGAGGAAGGGTCAAATGCCGGGGGCTGCAACGAGGAGAAGCCAGGGAAACCGCAGAGAAGGAGGATGTGCCTTCGCCAGTGCCCCTGCCCAATGATGACGATGATGAGCATAGCAAATACAAATTATGGCTGAAAAGCGCTACGTAAATACTGCAATCATTTTAATAGACCAAAAACGGCGGCGCATAAACCATAAACCAAACGCCACAGAGCCACAAAGAGGAGGCATCTCTGTATCTGGACCTGGGGACCTGAACCTTTGAACAAAACTGGACAGCCGAAACTATTTCTATGGGAAGTTGGAGTCGAAGGCGTTCTGCGATGTTGCAATGTTGCAACAAGCTGGCACGCGAGCAGCAGAAATGATGCGGTTTCCTCGATTTTCTCGGTTTCCTGGGCACTTGCCCAAGTTTAGCAGGGAAATTAGCGTAGATAAATATTTCTGGGGAAATTCCACAGCCGATGACCACTGATCGATAGGCAGGGGGTGTGTATTTTGTGGATTTCTGCATTTCAGCTCGAAGAATGCGAATTCCGATGTGTCTCGGTCACTTGCGGTTTGCAAATTACAGGCGGCGGAGGGAGTGTTCCTTTTCCCCTGGATCGCCTGGGCTTCTTGCCCGGATCATTGGCGTTCTATGGGGTGATTTGTGCCTGATAGACAGCTACAAGCGCACTTAATGCCCGCGAGATGAGAGGCGGAGTGGGAATGTATCTTTAGCTATCACTCGGCGTGCAAGATACAAAGCAGATGCTGACTAACCCCAGTCGTAGTACTGGAGCCCCCTTCCCCAGCAGTCTAGAGTATCTGTATCTCCTCCCCCCAAAAAGAACTCAGCCAAATCCAACTGCCGCCCCTGTCAATTCCATGGCATTTATTTTCGTAGTCTTAGCCGGCTGAACTGCTCTCCAACAGCTCTTTCTCTGGAGTGGTTTTCCCCCAGCGTTGTGCTCTCAGTGTGCGCATGCGCTCTCCAACTCTACACACCTCTTGCAGTTTGTTGTGCTCCACTCATTCGTAACATGTCCAGTGCTAAAGAAAAATTCAGTTAAAAGTAAAACAGGGAAAATTACAAAATATAAAAAGTAGATTAACTAATATGTCCAGTTAGGATCATTAAAATCATAAACTTTAAAGCCGTAACTAATAAAAAGTTTACCATTTTACTCAGTGTTCACTTTCTTTTGAGCTGCTAAAAAGATATTGGGTAATAAGACAGCCTTAAAATATTATATGGTTTTACTGAAAACTTAAGTTACTCCTTTCGCTGCAAGAAATAAATGAACCCCGGAACCATATTATCATGTAGAGGAACTTAGTCTATGGTGCCTAATACACTTTATCGAAAACTAAAAGTTGAAGGCACTATCGCTAATACAAGTCTTAAGCCATTCTGAATGCCCAATTTTGAACCCACGTGCTGACTTAATCTCTCTCTCGTCAGCCGGCAAACGAAACTCTCCAAAGTTGCCGCCAAATGTGCCGACTCCACTCCGAAGTGGCAACACCATCCACACTCGCGGTCCACCCCAATGGAACAGGTTCCACCCGGGGGCTCAGCCAGGCGGCTCCAAGTCGATTTTCGAGCAGTTGCTGTTCAACCGTCGCACGTAACGCACGCTGCAGCGGAAACACTGGATTCTGGTTCGGATCGGGGTTCGCTATAGTATAGGTTGGGTTTCGGATTTCGGATTTCGGCAGTCGTCGTTTGTATCGGTCGGTTTGGTCCGCTTGATCGGTTGGTTGGCCAACTGCAAGCTCAGCGGTTTTCCGTTTTTCGTTTTTCGGGGCCCTGCATTCGGCAGTTGTGATTGATGGACTGCAGTTGCTCCGCCAGCTCTGACCTCTAACCTCTGACCCCCCAGACAATCGAATTAAGTGACTTAAAGGGGTCTCTTTTTATGAGGGTCCGGGTCCCGTTGACCGATTCTAAAAAGAACACCCATCAACGCAAGAATATATCAAATAAAAAACGTTCAATTTCGCCTTTATTTTTGTGCCCGGTTTTTCGGATTTCGCCATCGCATTTCGCATTTCTCGAGCTTGTCGACGTCGTGTGCGCGGTCTTCATAAATTATACAAGAGCGCATTTTGCGAACGACTTGCAAATAAATAAGCATTTACGCTTTTATTATTGCCCGGCGTGTGTGTTGTTTGTGAGTGTGTTTTTTGGAGCAGGAGCCGGAGTTCTGCGGAAATCGCTCCCATGTGGCGCAAACCGGAGGAATAAAATAAAACCGAACCGAGGGTTCCCACTTAAATATCATTTTTGCATACAATCAACATCTAGCCGTAAAAGTGTGTTCGTCCCTATAAATATTTCGGGATCCGCTCTGATTTGTGTGTGCTGATAAGCCAGTGATTGCAAGGCATAAAACCCAGTCCCCCATAAAAGATATCTCAAGCAGGTAAGCAAGGGCAAGGACTATAACTCATAATGCCACGCACATTGAACCCAAACCGAACCCAGTGCATTGACATCTCGTAGGCATTATTATGCAAATGTGTGAATAGCGAAATGAGCAGCGTGTGCCTGCATCCTGATGCGTCCTCGTCATTATTGGCATTGTTGGCTTCATTATCATCATCAGTGCCGTCGTTGTCGTCTTTGTCCAGCTGTCAGCTTTTCCAGCCCCAACGATCTGCATAATTAGAGCACAGCGAGCTGGGTGTCTCTAACTGGCTCTAATGAATAAATAAGTGCCACTAATAGTTTTCGCACTTCCTGTTCTCGGCCATCAAATTGCACGCGTCCCCGGCTGCAGGAATTGAATCATCTGCAGCATCTGCAACATCGGCAGCAGCAACATGGCAGCAACGGCCTCCATGTTGACAATATTTAATTATGAAGCTGCAATGCCGATAACCTAACTGTCTGACTCTTTTTTCTATTTTCTCCACAACTTGCTGGAGTTCTGTGGGCTGGCTGCACTGAAAAAGTGTTCTATTACCATGTGAAATTTGAATAGTAAAGATGAGGTTCAAAAAAATGTATTTCCATATTAATATATCGGACAAATATAAATACACCCCCAAACTAGTAAGCAAAACGTCGCTCTGCTACAAAATAAAATAGTAACTAGTGCCCATTTGAAATTTTTTTTTCCTTTCCTGGAATACCCCTACAAATTATTCCCTAACATCGGTTTTTGAGTCTAGTCTCTGAATCAAGACAATAATATACATTTCTTTATGGCAATGTGCGAATAAATTTTCATAAATTGGCTATTAATTCACACATCATTTAGTAAACTATTTTTCTAAGTGTGGATCAGTCAATTCCCGCAATTGTGGTTCTTGCAACAGCAACTTTAACTGCTGATGTTGCTGCTGAGTTGCTGTTGTGTTGCTGTTGGCTGTGTTGTCATTGTCAACGTCATCATCGTTGTCATAATCATTTTCGCTGCTCTTTCCCACACAAATCGGCATAAAAATGTTTTCATTTTGCGCACTTACTTTTTCCATCTTTTGAGCAGAGCAAAGCGAGATACTTTCTATGGAAATCTTAGCGTTGCCATGGCAAATGCTCTCGCAATTATTTCGGGAAATATTTTTATTGCCAACTTTTTTCCGAAGCTGTAAAATTTCTTTTTTATTTCGGGCACATTTACTTTATTAGCTTAGGATATGGTTGGAAATTTGATTTGATATCGGACTATATGCAGCTTTGTCGCACATATTATGCGAATATTTTTATTTGCACCTCTGCGGCAAAAACATTTCCTGACCAACAATGTTGTGCAGCGGATGCCCCATCATAGTTCCCCAGATAAACATCAGCCAGACAACCAGAACACTCGAATGACTTGCGCAAATAACCAAAGTGGGGAAAAAGTGAGCACAAAAATAAATAGAATTTTCAAAGAATTTTCCTCTGACTTCCTCATTTGCTTATCAGTGCCGGGGGTATTCGAAATCAGAATGGGGATGGTGGGGGAGATGCCTCCGCCTGATTTCACTCACGCAGACTCATCAACTTTTAATTAGTTGTAATTTGTAAATTCAACGTCAAACACCGACCACGCAGTCAGTCAGAAGATGTCGCCGCCTTTGAAGCTGCCGCGAATGCGGATGATGATGTTGGCCCCGACTGACAGATTGCTGATAAAGGCCCTCCCATTTCCCCATCTACCCATTTACCCATCAAAAATCCCTGGTTAACCCTTTCAGCGCCTCTAATCGCGGTCTTCCTCCAACCGAAAGCTGCAAAACACCCATCCATCAGCGATGAGCGGCAGCTGTCAGCGGGTTCCTCCGGTTAAAAAGGATTGGCCATCGAAATTTGACAAAACTGTTTCGGTTATAAATGACTCTTTGATGGTCATAAACGGTGCCTAAAACGACGAATTGATTGGGGCATTGAAAATAAAAGGGGAGCCACTCATTTCGGGTGTCACATTAAGCGGGAAGACAAGACACTTTAAGGTTTGCTACCCACTTCTCATATCACTAATCACTGGCCAGGGTCGTAAATCCACTCGACTGATTCCCATCTTCGGCAATAAAATAATGCTCCACCAAATTACTTCAGGTTTGGGTATCCGCTTCTTTAATTAGTGACATTATAAATGTGGGTATATAGGGGGCACACTGCACATACATATAAATGGGGGCTGTACTAAAAACAAAACTTTACGAGCTAATTTTATGGCTCTTGCAAATTTATAGACTTTTGGCTCATGTGACACAAAACTAACAACGGAGCACAGGCAGCAGCAACTTTCCTAACAACCTCTATAAATCCCCTAGCTCCCAGTCGAGGCACTTAATTAATTTCTGTAAAAACTTTAAGAACAAAGGGCTGTTCACGTTGCCGTTGCAGTTGTTGTTGCTAGTTTGGATCCTATAGCCTAGTTGTAGCACGTTAATTTCCAATTTGAGGCGAAAAGAAAATAGGAAAAAAGTGAACAAGTAATGTCATACATAGTAGTATACCAGTATAGCAGCTATAGCTGCTATAGCAGCAAAATCAAAGCCCAAAGAAACAACGACGACGACAACTTCGACGGCGGACAACACAACAGTAGAACTAACTGCAAATTTGCAGCAGCGCAGAAGAACCAACAACTACCAACTCTGAAACGCAGCAGAAAAGCTTGCACCAGTTTCCCAACTGCAACTCGGGGTTGGCGTTGTTGTAGTGGGGAACAGTTACCTGGGCGCTAAACAAAAAGACAAAAAACTAGAAACGGGGGAAAACAAAAAGGAAACCGGGGGGAAAAACTGCGCACAGTAACCAAGTGAACCAGGCTGAGAAGAGATGAGAAGTTGAAGCTGTACACTTGAGGAAAAAACTGGAAAACTAGATCGGAAAACTAGAATGCAAGGAAAGTTTTGTATAGGTTGGCAGAGTGGATAGACGTTGCAATGATGCCAAGTACTCAATCGAAGCAAATGTTGGCAATGATGCCAAGTGCATCATCCGCCAACAATGCTGCCAATTAATTAAAAAATCTGACAAACCTTTGAAAGCATGATAAAAACAAACGTTTCAGTTAATCCTTAGGCTTGTTAGATTTTGAAGAGAGCTCCACAAATCTTTTCGCCAGACTTTTTCTCCTGTGCACTTTTAGCCTGATGCTGGTGCGGCGGGAAAAGGCTTTAGAAAGTAGCCAAAGGAGGTGGAAGAGATAGATGGCAGCCATCCCAAACCCGCAGCCAAACCCGTTGGCAGCTCGGCTCACTTCTCAGCCTTGCGTGATGCAATTGCCAGCGCCGGAGCGCCAAAAGATTGAAAGCAAACGACAGCCACGTAACTAGAACACTTGACTGCTTGGTGCTGCTGCGGATGACGATGGCGATGCCTCTGCAGCAACAATTTCCAATTAAAGCAGTTGCTGCTGGAGTCGGAGTTGCTTTGGGAGCTGGGAGCTGGGATCTGGGATCTGGAACTGGGATCTCAGAGCGGCGAGCTTGGAGTTGCAGTTCGCTTATGTGTCGCTTGCGCAATCATCATACGACGGCCACTTCTGACAGCTCCAACTGCTCCGGCTTCTATTTGATTTTCTATTGCCGTGGCGAGCTGCGCTGCGGCGAGTTTCTTGCGACAGGAAGCCATCCGTAATGGGCCTTAAAATACACATTTTATGCCCAGCTAACCATCCCCAATTAGAGCTTTGGGCTAATTGCAGTGACGCATAGTTGCGCATTACCGCGACAGCTCCCCGCGCCGAGGTCCAACTCGAAATCCATCCATCGTCCAGAAATTGGACGCTCCCAGTGGACAAGTCGGAAGCTAACGGCAGCGCGATTCGGAGCTAATTGATCATTAGGTCTATTTCCGCCGTGAGATGGCAGCGACTTCAAAGTTGTGAGTTTCTTACCCTTGACTGGTTTGTTTCTGTTTTTCCTATGCACCACATAAGTAAGTCATAAAGTGGCTACTTTTATGACAACCGAGCGCATGTTGCACGCAATCACCTGGACAGGCCGAAATTCCGGCTTGGATTTCAGCTGGGTTGGGCCCTCTCTATAAGGTAGATTTCCTTGCATCGACGTCCACGGGGGCAATCGTTTTTTATGGCTGCTCTCTGGCTAGAACCCAACAAAAACGGGTGGCCATAAAAGAAAATATGTGCTGCATGTAAAGAAAAAGACCAGGGAACTGGGTGAAATCGATTTGTATACGGTATGTAGTTCTTTATTACAGTTGCGGCCGATGAAGACTTTTGTAAAAGTCAGCGGAGGAGAAAAAGTCGGTGTGGGTGGGGAAAATGCGATTTGTTTTCCAAGAGATCGGGGGAGCAGGGGGATAATGCGTGGTGACTAGACAAAGGCCATAACTATCCAAGGAGAACCTATCCCCACTAACTGCCCACCAAGCCATCAGAATCTCGGTTGACTGATAGATAGATTTCCCGCCAGTCACTGACCCACTGCCCACATGCAAATGAGTTCGGGCAGGGGTATCTCATGGATGGTGCGTGTGTAGCTGGGGATGGGGATGGTATAGTTCGGTTTGGAGATGGAAAACTGGGTCGGGGGATCGGGATCTGCAGCCATATATATGTACGTGCCTGGTGCGTTGGCGTTGAGTGAAGTCTGAAGTCTTCGCCTGGCCTTTCCGTTTTTGGGAAAATACGAGCAAATCGAGAGGAGCCCATTCCCCCATTCCTGCTCTGTTGTTTCTGGCTGAATCTTTTGTTTACTTCTCGGTTATTTTTTGCCGCCGAACACATTTGGTTTTTGTTCCACGAAAAATGCTGCCTGGAAACCGAGAAAACCGAGAAGCCCCGAGAAAAGCTGGAAAAAGAACAGAACAAGCGATCTTAATTTACGTTAGCTCGTTAGCTGGAACTACCGTTAGAGGCTCAAGTGCAGAAAACTGCACCAAAGTCGGTTGTTTTTGTGGCCAAAATGCCGATACCTTTTTTGGGCATTCTACCAACGCCTCCAATGCCCCATTGTG